TTGTATAATAATTATTTTATTTCATATCATTTGTAGTTGCCCAGACTTATAGTAACTGCCGAGTTGGTCTTACTGAAACTAAAGTCTCTTACGTACTGGGCAACTTATAAAAAGTTAGATTAAGTGAGGTAATTCAAAGTTAGTCTGTTTCAAATATATAATGATTGACGAACTAACTTTCCTTGTGTTTACCATGAACCAGGTGGTATAGCAGTGTGCATAGTATGTTGCTGTGTTTACCATGAACCAGGTGGTATAGCAGTGTGCATAGTATGTTGCTGTGTTTACCATGAACCAGGTGGTATAGCAGTGTGCACAGTATGTTGCTGTGTTTACCATGAACCAGGTGGTATAGCAGTGTGCATAGTATGTTGCTCGCTGGGACTATTGTCTTATATTAGGTTTTGTCTTATACTTGTGTTTACCATGAACCAGGTGGTATAGCAGTGTGCATAGTATGTTGCTCGCTGGGACTATTGTTTTATATTACGTTTCGTGTAGAAGTTATGCCATATGTCTGTTCTTAAAACAGCTGATACTGTCGTAATGATCAGGATAATTCTATATAATGTATGATAAATCTGGTATGTGCGATATTTAATAGAATCATCTGTTCCAGCGGACTTATTTTAAACAGGGCACAAGATGTTTCTCATATGTTTATTGGAGTTGTGAGGACTCTGAATTGGTTTTATTTTTACTAAAAGCTGCCTCTACCGCACTATTAAAAAAAACATGTTATGATTTTATAAGAAAGTGTCCGTCGGTAAATTAATTTTTGCTTTCTAAATTGTGTTTTGCCCTCTCTCCAGTATCCATTGACAGAAAATGTTGTTAACTGTTAGAATATTGACTTCTTTAGCACATGGTCATCATACATACATAGCATACCATTGTCTTCAGTCTTTGTTTTATAGCTATTTTGTTTCATATCAATTATAGTTGCCAGACTGAAAGTAACTGCCGAGTTGGTCTTACTGAAACTACAGTCCTTCTCTCTCTCGAGGCAACTTATAAAAATTTGTTGTATTTGTAGGATAATTCAAAGCTAGTCTGTTTTAAATATATGATGGTAGATGAACTAACTTTCCTTGTGTTTACTATGAACCAGGTGGCCGCATCATGTTTTGTTTGGGGACCGGTTTTTGGTACACCGGCCAATGTTTACAAAATCATAGGATACATAACAATATAATTTTATCTAATATACGTGAATATGGAAATTAAAAATTATGATGTAACCTTATACGTTTATTCATTAAAAAAGACAAAAACTTTAAAAATTAAAACTTGCATTATCATGATTTATTAACATAGTGACAAATAATTTGATTTGATACGACAGATGATCACACACACTGTTTTATAAGCTATTTGTGTCAGATTACCGATCAGTGGGCAGTGCAGAGTCGATGGTATAGTACTCTGTATCAGTATAGTGCTCTTGATTGAAGTTAAAACAAATACGAATAACTGAGCCCATGTCTTATCAGCACCTGCTAGCGCTATCATTTATCAATATCAATCATCAGAATGTTGCTGGCCAGCAACATACTGATGTGGCTGCTTTACTGATGAACTGTTACTTTACTGATGTACAGGATGACTCTATGTAATAATTAAGGGGACATACACCAAAAGCTTTTATGCCCTGGCCCTGCTGTTAACGTCATATTAAGAAAGTATACATAAAAACAATAAGATTTGATACATTAAAAATTATTTTTGAGGACCCGCACTTTCGAAAAAATAAATATTTTCTTTTTTGAAAGTTTTGGAAATTTTGAGAAGTCTGTCACTGTAATACCGATATTTCAGTCATTTTAAACGTTTATTGACTGATTTTTTAACTGAACATTATTTACAATCCGTACAAGAAGCCCTTCAAAGGATTTTATAATTAAAATATAGATGACGAAGTTACAGGCCAAACAAGGTCGAGAGAAGCAAAATTGAAATTTTTGTAAAAATCAAAGTTGTACATTTTACCATTCACCCAGGTCATAAGATATCGCTTCAAAAATTCTTGTGAATGTAGCTGATGATCATATCCAACTTTTTGGGACAGTATTTCTCTCAATTTTGAGTTTTAAGGTATGAAATGTGGCCTCAAACGACTTAGTAAAATTAATCGTAAAAAGGGCCAAACATGGCCGATTTAAAGCTTTAAATGCCTATAACTCAAAAAGTATCAGTTTTTTTGAAATAATTTTTACAGAATCGTAATCAGCTTGAGAGGACAAATCTTTTAAAATAGGTGATTTTAGAAGACAAATTGTCTTAAATAATTTTCTAGCTCGAACACAAGGGTCCCCCCTTGTATAAATTTTGTACAATTGTACACATTTTTTTTCAAATTTTGTGTCTTTAACTATTATAAATTTGGTACTAAAAGATTCGTCTTACCAAGCTGATTACGATCCTGTAAAAATTATTTCAAAAAAACTGATACTTTTTGAGTTATAGGCATTTTAAGCCTTAAATCTGCCATGTTTGGCCCTTTTTACGATTAATTTTACTAAGTCGTTTGAGGCCACATTTCATACCTTAAAACTCAAAATTGAGAGAAATCCTGTTTCAAAAAGTTGGATATGATCATCATCTACACTCACAAGAATTTTTGAAGCGATATCTTATGACCTGGGTGAATGGTAAAATATACAACTTTGATTTTTACAAAAATTTCAATTTTGCTTCTCTCGACCTTGTTTGGCCTGTAACTTCGTCATCTATATTTTAATTATAAAATCCTTTGAAGGGCTTCTTGTACAGATTGTAAATAATATTCATTTAAAAAATCAGTCAATAAACGTTTAAAATGACTGAAATATCGGTATTACAGTGACAGACTTCTCAAAATTTCCAAAACTTTCAAAAAAGAAAATATTTATTTTTTCGAAAGTGCGGGTCCTCAAAAATAATTTTTAATGTATCAAATCTTATTGTTTTTATGTATACTTTCTTAATATGACGTTAACAGCAGGGCCATGGCAGTCTCTACTTACTTGGGTTACTTGGGGTTGCTTCATAGATCCTCTATCGGGTCATCAGAACGGCTGACCACCCGTGCAGCGAAGTTGCTGTCTTTTCTGCGCTCCAGTTCAATAACGAATTATCGTTCTGGCAACAATATCCAGTAACAGGAGGTTCGTCCGGAATAGATGTAACAAACTCCGTCAACAATGACTCTCTAGAAGCACCGCATATTATATTTTAGAGTTTTCAGGACTCTAGATCTCTATTCACTGCTAGCTACGCATTGGTTTTAACATTCAGCTCGCAAAACTTATTGAGATTAAATATAAAAGTATATAACAGTTCCGTTTTTAAATACATGTTTGCTACAAAGAAGCACTGTGTTTTGCTCTTTCTCTTCTGGCTTATAAAATTGTTATATTATAAAAAATGAGAATAAAATCACCAGGCCAGGCCATCAGACATACAGAGCATACCATAACCTTTATATATGTATTAACTGTTTTATTTCATATAAATTATAGTTGCCAGACTGAAAGTAACTGCCGAGTTGGTCTTACTGAAACCACAGTCCTTTTCTCTCTCTCGAGGCAACTTATAAAAATTTGTTGTGTATACGTAGAATAATTCAAAGCTAGTCTGTTTCAAATATATAATGGTCGACAAACTAACTTTCCTTGTGTTTACAATGAACCAGGTGGTGTAGCAGTGTGCATAGTATGTTGCTGTGTTTACCATGAACCAGGTGGTATAGCAGTGTGCATAGTATGTTGCTCGCTGGGACTATTGTCTTATATTACGTTTCTTGTAGAAGTTGTGCCAAATGTTAAAACTGCTGATATAACTGTCCTTATGATCAGGATAATTCTATATAATGTATGATAAATCTGGTATGTGCGATATTAAATAGAATCATCTGTTCCAGCGGACTTATTTTAAACAGGGCACAAGATGTTTTTGCATATGTTTATTGGAGTTGTGAGGACTCTGAATTGGTTTTATTTTAACTAAAAGCTGCCTGTACCGCACAATTCACAAAGCATGTTATGATTTTATAAGAAAGTGTCCGTCGGTAAATTAATTTTTGCTTTCTAAATTGTGTTTTGCCCTCTCTCCAGTCTCCATTGACAGAAAATGTTGTTAACTGTTAGAATATTCACTTGTTTAGCACATGGTCATCAGACATACTTAGCATACCATTGTCTTCAGTCTTTGTTTTATAGCTATTTTGTTTCATATCAATTGTAGTTGCCAGACTGAAAGTAACTGCCGAGTTGGTCTTACTGAAACTACAGTCCTTCTCTCTCTCGAGGCAACTCATAAAAATTTGTTTAAAGTATAATTCAAAGATGGTAGACGAACTAACTTTCCTTGTGTTTTCTATGAACCAGGTGGCCGCATCATGTTTTGTTTGGGGACCGGTTTTTGGTACACCGGCCAATGTTTACAAAATCATATGATACATAACAATATAATTTTATTTAATATACGTGAATATGAAAATTGAAAATTATGATGTAACCTTATACGTTTATTCATTAAAAAAAACAAAAACTTTGAAAATTAAAACTTGCATTATATCATGATTTATTAACATAGTGACAAATAATTTGATTTGATACAACAGATGATCACACGCACTGTTTTATAAGCTACTTGTGTCAGATTACCGATCAGTGGGTAGTGTAGAGTCGATGGTTTAGTACTCTGTATCAGTATAGTGCTCTTGATTGAAGTTAAAACAAATACGAATAACTGAGCCCATGTCTTATCAGCACCTGCTAGCGCTATCATCTATCAATATCAATCATCAGAATGTTGCTGGCCATCAACATTCTGATGTGGCTGCTTTACTGATGAACTGTTACTTTACTGATGTACAGGATGTAATGATTAATGAATTATATAAATCTAGCATATGTAATTTAATTGGATAATATAATCACCATTTAAAACACGAGAATTAGTAGAGATATTTGGTGTAGTACGGAATTTGTTAGATCAAGTAACCAAAGTCTCCTCAGGTGGGAGTTTCCTTACTTCAGAACCGCCCCTGAGGGCTGGAAGGTGAGATTAATAACAAATAATATTGTAACTACATGTTAAGTTCTTGATAATAACTGTAGAGCTTTTGGATCTAACAGAATGTTTCTTCGATGAATTAGTCAACGAAATATTCTCAGAATTCTGTTCGACACAACCTATCGCTGAATAAAGCGTTTTATAAAGTTGTCCGTACGCCGTCACGCCCCACGTCTCTCCGTCCCTTATCAATCACCGGAAAAGGTAACCATTGGTTGTTTGTTGTTTCAGTAACAAATTAACAGGATTATCCCTATCTGATGTAGTGGTATTTCAGAATAAACAAAAACCCAAGTTTGATCAGGAGCTTTCGTCTTCTGTAACATTCTATAAAGTACACTTTTCCTACATTGCCTACATACCGTTTGATTCTCCTGTTACAGGATGTTACTGGCTACTAGACCCTACCAAGGAGAATGGAATGAACGAGGAGATATTGAAGTGGAAGAGAAAACACCCCGAGGCAGTGCGGGCCAGCATGTCAAACCCTGCCAACTACTGGAACCCTCCAAATACAGGTAAAATTGAAAATGTTACTTCAAATGTTAATATTTTGAGTACAGTAAAGTTTTATATTATTATTGGTGTGCTTTTTTAACGTGAGGTTTACAAATTAAATGACAGTGAAATCAGATTTGATTGACTCTATTAAACAACAGATTTCACACCCACAGGACTAGGCTCACCTCCAGCACACCTGAAGAATGTTCTAGTTCCCTCCCGACCCCGGTACAACCCCTACCCCCGCACACTACGACCTGCTATCCCAGTGGGTGGTGACCCGGAGAGTTGTACTGGGATCACGTCTACTCAGCAGTCTCCGGTATCAGTCAGGGATCAGAGTTGTGGAAGTGAGGTGAGTGGAGAGGGTCTGGTTGGCATGGTGCCAAGACACTGTGCGGATATGGTGCCATGTAATGTGCCTGTTGAAGAGAAATGGGTTTCAAATGATGGAGTTCTCTTTCCTCCTCATTTCATTGGCTGATCAGATGATTGTCATTGTGAGAAATCGTAGAACGATATACTGGGGAGGGATTTGTATTTGCTTTATCAGACTTAACGAATAACGATAGATAATATTACGTTGGTTGTTTAACAAAGGAGTATGCTTGGAATCAGACAAGAACTTTTTATATGTTTTTATTGTTTTTATCGCACGCCAATGGACTAGCAGATAAACTATGATGAAGTGAATACATTGCTGGGGTCTTCCTGCATTACATGTTTTCATATAAAATAACCTGCCGATAGTCATATGAAGTAGATGTTATCACATTATGGGCATTATGATAAAGCAAAAAACGGTTCATGAATCGTTTTTATAGTAATCTGTGGGAAGTGGTCGGAAGTAGTATATGGTAAGAGTCAACATAGTATTTAGCTAACGTGGATAATTTATAGTAATAACGTGGATAATTTATTACTATAAATTATCCACGTTATTCCGGGCCAATGTTTTTAATTATATGCTCCTAAAAATGTAATTCGTTTTGCAGCTTATTTTGTATCACTTTCATAAATCCATTTTTAAAATCCAGACCTATATGTATGTTTGATTTATTAACCAGATTTAAAAATAAGTGACTAGAATACTGGTTAATAATCGGGAGCCACAAATAACAGATATGATCCTGTAGTTGCTTCGCTCCATAAGCTACAATTAGAAAACCTTACTTTGTTTGAGATGGCACGGTATCTACTATCTTGATATAATACATGTAACGCCAAATTTGGCACATAGAAACTCATTCAAACTCGCACAGATTATTCGTATTATTACCATATATCTGGAAAGTTTCTATCGGGCAGTTCTAGATAAAATCAAAAATATATTCTGAGTTATTTACTAAAACACTCGATTTTCAACGTTTTGATTTGGAACAGTTTTGACGAAAGTCCTTCTGCAAAATTGGAGTTGGACTTTCTGTTCCATTTGTTCCGCGGAACAATATTTGACGAAAGTCGATTATCTTGAGATCCTACTGATAAATTTTCTTTAAACTTTCCAGATAGTTGTATGGCTATGAGACGGATATTCTGTGCGATTTTGTGCGAATTTCTATGTGCCAAACCTGATATATGACTTCAAACACAAGAAAATATCTCAAAATGGCGGTTTGTAGCGGAACGCAGGCACATATTTCGAGATCCTACTGATAAATTTTCTTTAAACTTTCCAGATAGTTGTATGGCTGTGAGACGGATATTCTGTGCGATTTTGGGCGAATTTCTATGTGCCAAACCTGAGATATGACTTCAAACACAAGAAAATATCTCAAATTGGCGCGTTCTAGCGGAACGCAGGCACATATTTCGAGATCCTACTGATAAATATTCTTTAAACTTTCCAGATAGTTGTATAGCTATGAGACGGATATTCTGTGCGACTTTTGGTGAATTTCTATGTGCCAAACCTGAGATATGACTTCAAACACAAGAAAATATCTCAAAATGGGGGTTTCTAGCGGAACGCAGGCACATATTTCGAGATCCTACTGATAAATTTTTTTAAACTTTCCAGATAGTTGTATCGCTGTGAGACGGATATTCTGTGCGATTTTGGGCGAATTTCTATGTGCCAAACCTGAGATATGACTTCAAACACAAGAAAATATCTCAAATTGGCGCGTTCTAGCGGAACGCAGGCACATATTTCGAAATCCTACTGATAAATTTTCTTTAAACTTTCCAGATAGTTGTATGGCTATGAGACGGATATCCTGTGCGATTTTGGGCGAATTTCTATGTGCCAAACCTGAGATATGACTTCAAACACAAGAAAATATCTCAAATTGGCGCGTTCTAGCGGAACGCAGGCACATATTTCGAGATCCTACTGATAAATTTTCTTTAAACTTTCCAGATAGTTGTATGGCTATGAGACGGATATTCTGTGCGATTTTGGGCGAATTTCTATGTGCCAAACCTGAGATATGACTTCAAACACAAGAAAATATCTCAAATTGGCGCGTTCTAGCGGAACGCAGGCACATATTTCGAGATCCTACTGATAAATATTCTTTAAATTTTCCAGATAGTTGTATGGCTGTGAGACGGATATTCTGTGCGATTTTGTGCGAATTTCTATGTGCCAAACCTGATATATGACTTCAAACACAAGAAAATATCTCAAAATGGCGGTTTGTAGCGGAACGCAGGCACATATTTCGAGATCCTACTGATAAATTTTCTTTAAACTTTCCAGATAGTTGTATGGCTGTGAGACGGATATTCTGTGCGATTTTGGGCGAATTTCTATGTGCCAAACCTGAGATATGACTTCAAACACAAGAAAATATCTCAAATTGGCGCGTTCTAGCGGAACGCAGGCACATATTTCGAGATCCTACTGATAAATATTCTTTAAACTTTCCAGATAGTTGTATAGCTATGAGACGGATATTCTGTGCGACTTTTGGTGAATTTCTATGTGCCAAACCTGAGATATGACTTCAAACACAAGAAAATATCTCAAAATGGCGGTTTCTAGCGGAACGCAGGCACATATTTCGAGATTCTACTGATACATTTTTTAAAAACTTTCCAGATAGTTGTATGGCTGTGAGACGGATATTCTGTGCGATTTTGGGCGAATTTCTATGTGCCAAACCTGAGATATGACTTCAAACACAAGAAAATATCTCAAATTGGCGCGTTCTAGCGGAACGCAGGCACATATTTCGAGATCCTACTGATAAATTTTCTTTAAACTTTCCAGATAGTTGTATGGCTATGAGACGGATATTCTGTGCGATTTTGGGCGAATTTCTATGTGCCAAACCTGAGATATGACTTCAAACACAAGAAAATATCTCAAATTGGCGCGTTCTAGCGGAACGCAGGCACATATTTCGAGATCCTACTGATAAATTTTCTTTAAACTTTCCAGATAGTTGTATGGCTATGAGACGGATATTCTGTGCGATTTTGGGCGAATTTCTATGTGCCAAACCTGAGATATGACTTCAAACACAAGAAAATATCTCAAATTGGCGCGTTCTAGCGGAACGCAGGCACATATTTCGAGATCCTACTGATAAATTTTCTTTAAACTTTCCAGATAGTTGTATGGCTGTGAGACGGATATTCTGTGCGATTTTGGGCGAATTTCTATGTGCCAAACCTGAGATATGACTTCAAACACAAGAAAATATCTCAAAATGGCGGTTTCTAGCGGAACGCAGGCACATATTTCGAGATCCTACTGATAAATTTTCTTTAAACTTTCCAGATAGTTGTATGGCTGTGAGACGGATATTCTGTGCGATTTTGGGCGAATTTCTATGTGCCAAACCTGAGATATGACTTCAAACACAAGAAAATATCTCAAAATGGCGGTTTCTAGCGGAACGCAGGCACATATTTCGAGATCCTACTGATAAATTTTCTTTAAACTTTCCAGATAGTTGTATGGCTGTGAGACGGATATTCTGTGCGATTTTGGGCGAATTTCTATGTGCCAAACCTGAGATATGACTTCAAACACAAGAAAATATCTCAAATTGGCGCGTTCTAGCGGAACGCAGGCACATATTTCGAGATCCTACTGATAAATTTTCTTTAAATTTTCCAGATAGTTGTATGGCTATGAGACAGATAATCTGAGCAAGTTTGGGCGAATTTCTATGTGCCAAACTTGAGATATGACTTCAAACTCATGAAAACATCTCAAATTGGCGGTTTCGGAACGATATTTGACGAAAGTCGATTATTTTGAGATCCTACTGATAAATTTTCTTTAAACTTTCCAGATAGTTGTATGGCTATGAGACGGATATTCTGTGCGATTTTGGGCGAATTTCTATGTGCCAAACCTGAGATATGACTTCAAACACAAGAAAATATCTCAAAATGGCGGTTTCTAGCGGAACGCAGGCACATATTTCGAGATCCTACTGATAAATTTTCTTTAAACTTTCCAGATAGTTGTATGGCTGTGAGACGGATATTCTGTGCGATTTTGGGCGAATTTCTATGTGCCAAACCTGAGATATGACTTCAAACTCATGAAAACATCTCAAATTGGCGGTTTCGGAACGATATTTGACGAAAGTCGATTATTTTGAGATCCTACTGATACATTTTCTTTAAACTTTCCAGATAGTTGTATGGCTATGAGACGGATATTCTGTGCGATTTTGGGCGAATTTCTATGTGCCAAACCTGAGATATGACTTCAAACACAAGAAAATATCTCAAAATGGCGGTTTCTAGCGGAACGCAGGCACATATTTCGAGATCCTACTGATAAATTTTCTTTAAACTTTCCAGATAGTTGTATGGCTGTGAGACGGATATTCTGTGCGATTTTGGGCGAATTTCTATGTGCCAAACCTGAGATATGACTTCAAACACAAGAAAATATCTCAAATTGGCGCGTTCTAGCGGAACGCAGGCACATATTTCGAGATCCTACTGATAAATTTTCTTTAAACTTTCCAGATAGTTGTATGGCTATGAGACGGATATTCTGTGCGATTTTGGGCGAATTTCTATGTGCCAAACCTGAGATATGACTTCAAACACAAGAAAATATCTCAAATTGGCGGTTTCTAGCGGAACGCAGGCACATATTTCGAGATCCTACTGATAAATTTTCTTTAAACTTTCCAGATAGTTGTATGGCTATGAGACAGATATTCTGAGCAAGTTTGGGCGAATTTCTATGTGCCAAACTTGAGATATGACTTCAAACACAAGAAAATATCTCAAATTGGCGGTTTCTAGCGGAACGCAGGCACATATTTCGAGATCCTACTGATAAATTTTCTTTAAACTTTCCAGATAGTTGTATGGCTATGAGACGGATATTCTGTGCGATTTTGGGCGAATTTCTATGTGCCAAACCTGAGATATGACTTCAAACACAAGAAAATATCTCAAAATGGCGGTTTCTAGCGGAACGCAGGCACATATTTCGAGATCCTACTGATAAATTTTCTTTAAACTTTCCAGATAGTTGTATGGCTGTGAGACGGATATTCTGTGCGATTTTGGGCGAATTTCTATGTGCCAAACCTGAGATATGACTTCAAACACAAGAAAATATCTCAAATTGGCGCGTTCTAGCAGAACGCAGGCACATATTTCGAGATCCTACTGATAAATTTTCTTTAAACTTTCCAGATAGTTGTATGGCTATGAGACAGATAATCTGAGCAAGTTTGGGCGAATTTCTATGTGCCAAACTTGAGATATGACTTCAAACTCATGAAAACATCTCAAATTGGCGGTTTCGGAACGATATTTGACAAAAGTCGATTATTTTGAGATCCTACTGATAAATTTTCTTTAAACTTTCCAGATAGTTGTATGGCTATGTGATGGATAATCTGAGCAAGTTTGGGCGAATTTCTATGTACAAACTTGAGATATGACTTCAAACACAAGAAAATATCTCAAAATGGCGGTTTCTAGCGGAACGCAGGCACATATTTCGAGATCCTACTGATAAATTTTCTTTAAACTTTCCAGATAGTTGTATAGCTATGAGACGAATATTCTGTGTGATTTTGGGCGAATTTCTATTTGCCAAACCTGAGATATGACTTCAAACACAAGAAAATATCTCAAAATGGCGGTTTCTAGCGGAACGCAGGCACATATTTCGAGATCCTACTGATAAATTTTCTTTAAACTTTCCAGATAGTTGTATGGCTGTGAGACGGATATTCTGTGCGATTTTGGGCGAATTTCTATGTGCCAAACCTGAGATATGACTTCAAACACAAGAAAATATCTCAAATTGGCGCGTTCTAGCGGAACACAGGCACATATTTCGAGATCCTACTGATAAATTTTCTTTAAATTTTCCAGATAGTTGTATGGCTATGAGACAGATAATCTGAGCAAGTTTGGGCGAATTTCTATGTGCCAAACTTGAGATATGACTTCAAACTCATGAA